CTCCCGTTGCGGAGCACAGGCTCCGGACGCGCAAGCTCAGGGGCCATGGCTCACGGGCCCAGCTGCTCCGCGGCATGTGGGATCTTCCCGGACTGGGGCACGAACCTGTGTCCCCTGCATCGGCAGGCAGACTCTCAACCACTGTGCCACCAGGGAAGCCCACTCATAATATTCTTGTTATCCTTACATTTCAGAAATTTTTCAAGTAGACATTTTGTTATCTTTCTCTGGTAATCCTGTAAAATATAAAAAATTTTAATTTCCAAACTAAGTTCCATTTTGGAAACTAAAAAAAAAAATTAATATTCTAAATTTACTAAATAACTATTCTACTTCCTCAAAAGTATCTCCATTTCCAAAAACTTTTCTGCATTATTTTCACCTATTTAATGTGTTTTTTGCTCTGGATCTGATTTCTAAGTTTTTTCTCTGCTTTACACTTATTAGAAGCTTCAGTGTCATTTATTGTATTCTAATTTGTTCTCTTATATTTACCACTATTATTACATTTTTCATTCTAACCTATTTGTGCATAATAGTTGTACACCCTTTTTCTGCTCTAGGAGTAGATAACTCTTCTCTGAATTGTAGTTGTGATTCTTTTTTTTTTTTTTTTTTTTTTTTTTTGTAGTTGTGATTCTTGTACTTATTCCTTTTAAGGGTTATCATTATATTATTTTGTTTTTCTGGCTTTGCTCTTTTGACTACTAAACTTATTTACTGATCATAAGTTACCTTTTTATTTCACTCACTCTTGAGTATACATATGGTTGGTGGCTTTTTTTTTTGTTGTTACTGTTATTGATGATTTTTATTTGTTCCAGGTAATTCTATAGTATCTTAATGAGTTTAAGAGCAAAAACAACTCTGTGCACTCTAGTAACTTCCTGAATGCTTCCATATGGAGATGACTAAAATTCCACAAAAATTCCACAATCTGCAGGAAGAGGTCTACATAAATAGTCTCAAACTTTACTTCTATTTCCTACTCAAAATACAAACTTCTATTTCCTACTCCAAACGCAAAATACAAATATCAAACAGATCAGGCCTCAGCAGTAGATACCATTTACTGATCAGCAAAACCCTCCTCCAATTCAATCACTTGGAGAATTCTGCCGGAATACACCTATTTGCATAAAATATTTTCCTTAGAATGTGCCCCCCCACCTTTCTATACAAACATTTCTTGAAAGATAAAGGCAAAAAGACATGTAGAAATACCTCAATTTTCTCCTACTCTCTATTAGTTTAGAAGAAATAGATCAGCGAGTTCTATACATATTGTTTTTTGGAGCTATCATATTCAAGACTATGATTCAGTTTAATACAAAGTTGAATAGTATGGTTGAATAATTTATTAAAACAGAACGTAGCATTCAAACATAAAAGTTATAATGCCAGTCACTGGAGAAACTAGAACTACTACTGGAGTTGAACGACTACCTTAAAATATCAAGGATGACTAGTATATCTAAAATCCTAGGGACTTCCCTGGCGGTCCAGTGGTTAAGACCCTGTGCTTCCAATGCAAGGGGTGTGGGTTCGATTCCTGGTCGGGGAACTGAGGTCCCATATGCTGCACAGCGTAGCCAAAAAAAATTAATAAGTAAAAAAATAAAATAGAATAAAATCCTACAGTTTTACCTAAATGCAGAACTAAAGCTAAATTATCAGCCAGTCAAAGCAATCTGTTTTCATCCCTTCTCCACTCATTATTTTGCTTTTATTTTCAATTTTGAAAAGTTTAGCTTATATACACTAATCTCTAATGAAGACTCCCTGGACCACGCCAGAATGAAAGTATGCTTTCTTCTATCAAACTCTTTCATAGATGACCCTTATACATGCTAGCAGGTGACTACCCTACACCTCCTACTCTTCTGTAACTGGAACTGATCAGGGAAGCAAGAGATGAAATGAAAATAACTGAAAATTCCTAAGCAAAGCAAAAGAAAGCTTAACCTTCATAGTTAACAATATAAGGCAGGTAGAACCATGAAGGCCCTTCTTATTGCTGTCGTCAACAATTTCTGCATCCTGAGCCATCTGGTGATATCTTCAAGGCTGCCTGAATATTTTCAGCATTTTTGTACTAAATAATACTAAAATAAGTATTAAAATACTTACTTTAAACAATTTTCCCAGAATAAAAATATTTATAGGAAGGCAAAAGCACACAGGATGATTGACTCTGGGCTATGAATTCCTTATGGTCATGACTCTCAACTAACATGTAATATTTACAACCTGGTACTTACTAATGGAGTAAGTCTGTATGTTTTTACCTTATCCCCCAATTAGCTCTTTTTAAGAGCAGGGACTCAGTCTTAAAAGAGGCAGTACAGTTTAGATTAGACCTGCTTCAACCACAGTAGCTCTGCTCTTATCTATTTTATACTGTAATGCTGGGTAAGTCTTTGTTTCAAAAAGGAGTTTAAATGTTATTATTTTGCTTGTAAGTTTAAAAACTACTTGCATCCCACTAAAATTAAAAGGACTGACAATACCAAGTGTTGGAAAAGATGTGAAGCAACTATAACACATTCATGTATAGTATGGTCACACATGAATGGTACAGCCATACATGAATGATACAGACACCCTGGAAAAATGGAAGTATTTGTTAAAGATATATAGATACATAGATAGAGATCTCTTACGAGCCATCAATTCTACTCATTGTTATATACCCAAGAGAAATGAAAGCTTATGTCAACCAAAGGTTATGTACAAGAATATGCTTAGCAACTTTACCCATAATTCCCCCAAACTGGAAACATCAAATGTCCATCAATGGAACAATGGATCAATTGTGTTATATTTACATATTGGAATATCACGTAGTAATGAAAAAGAATGAACTACTGCTATGTATAATATTCTGGGTGAATCTAAATGTTAAATGAAAAAATCCAAGAACAAGATAATAAATAGACATGACTGCATTTATATGAAGTTCAAAAACAAGCAAGACTGTTTTTGAACTTTATATGCAACCTCATATCACCTCTAGTGAGAGAGATTGGAACAGGGTTACTCTGGGGTTTAGGAGGATACTGACTGGGAAGGAGCATAAAGGAGTCTCCTGAGTGCTGGTAATTTTTTTATATCTTTATATGGATGGTGAGAACACAAGTGTGTAGAGATGTAAACATTCATCAAATTGTACACTGAATATTTGTGATTTACTATATATGTTATACCCTAATTTTAAAAAACTCATATAGTGGCAAGAGTCGTGGAATAGGCATTGGAGGTTCTAGTCATGGTTCTGCCATATGTGATTCTTGACAAAGCATAAAACCTCACTGGATCTGCATTCCATAGACTACATGCTAAGTAAGGTCTCTTCCCCCTCTAAAAGTCACTGATTCAAAATTCCTATGAATTTCCTTGGTCTGCATGTTTGCAAAATTATATTTTTTCTTTTTTCTTTTTTTTGGCCACGTTGCGCAGCATGCAGGTTCTTAGTTCCCCAACCAGGGATCAAACCTGTGCTCTCTGCAGTGGAAGTGCAGAGTCTTAACCACTGGACCACCAGGGAAGTCCCTGCAAAATTATCTTTTCCTGATTTCCACAGAAATATAACTTGAGCATCTCTTTAATCCCTACTTGGAGAGATGGGGGGTGTTAATAGGCTTATTTTACATTAATAGATGGAACTAGCATCAGAATTTCTGGGCCAACATACAAGCATACAAAGTAAAATGTTACCTAGGAATACAGGTGATTAGAAACTAGTGATGCTCTATTATTTGGAAAGAACAGTGAACTGTGATGACGTTAGCTAAAGCTGTAATTCTCTTTGAATCAATAAAAATAACCTGGAGCCACTGGAGTGACGATACCTAATAATTTATAATCAATAACTGAAAGCTTGTTGCAGAAAGGTAGCTGTTTCTTTCCAATTACCTATATGAGGAATCAATATTTACTGTACAAGTTCTATACTTTGAAAAAAAATCAAGAAGACATTCCTTGATAGGGGCAAGCAGGACACACAAGGGAAGTTCACTGCTTTTTCTTTTTTTTTTTTTTACAGGGGATATTACTTTTATAAATGGAAAGATAAAAAATAAAATTTAGTCATAGCCAACTTTTCTTCATGAGGAGATGCTACCTGAATTTAACAGTAGGTTTTATATCCTTATATCCTTATTCTAGGTATAAGTCATCAAGTCAGGTTATCAGATCAAGTCAGGCCACCCTAGTCATCACTTCATGAGAAAGGAAGAAAAATACAATGGTTTTAGAAATATTTGAATCCAAGGAACTTCTTGTATGAATTATGGATTAAGCTTCCAAATTTCAGAGATCCTCTAAAATTTTGTAAAAATCAAGGGAAGATGTATCCATCAGATGACAAAAGAAGCACTACATGTAATAAAATGCCATGGGAAAAAGCACTAGCCCATTAAGACCAAAGCATAGATTCTAATTCTGGCCCTGCCATTTAAATTTGAGTAAATCATTTTGATCTTTCTGACTCAGATTTCCTACCTGTAAAATGAAGGGAATGAGTTAGATAATTTTAACCTTTATTTTTCTCTCACTAAAATTTCCTATATGCTGGAATTCACTACATACCAACATGGTAGATGCTTTTCCTCATATTGACCCTAATCTACACAAAAGTTAACTATCCTTATTAACAAAAATATCTAGAAATTAAATATCAGAAGCCACTAAAATTGAATGATGGACATTAGAGTCTGATGTCTTTTCCACTGCTATAAATTGGGTTTGCTTCCATCAAGTACATAAAGGACAATTCATAAATTTAAAAATGAATTAAGCAAATGAAAGGGTCTATAATGAACCGGCTAGAGAATTTTTTAAAAACTTACTGATGAAGCTCTATTCCAGAAAAGGTCTATAGTTTCCATACACATATATATATTCCATATAGACACACACACACACACACACACACACACACACACACACATTCTTTATTAGCTGAATATGGTCAAATAAAAAACATAACATCTACTCACTTTGACAGAGATACTCCCCCAGCTTTCCCAATCATCTCTTCATGGTGTAATACTGAGTGGTTCCAAGGAATTTGGAGGAACTTTAAGAGTGTTCTCATCCACCGTTCAGGATGTAAGACAAGTTGCTCATAGTGAACTAACATGCATTTTTTATAGCCAACCTCCATACACTGGTTATACATGGTCTCTATGGCACGATTCCACTTGGTCAAACAGTCCCTATAGCTGTTCAGGTCAAATCCAGCGATTGTAACTTTTCGAGAAATCATTGAATGTACTGATGCCCGGCCATCACGGACCATCAGGAGAAATTTGGCATTGGGGAATAACCTAGCAAGGTAAGTTAAGGATTTCAGGGCAAAAGGATCTTTATTACATAAATAAGGGGCTGGCTCCCCATGCTTAACAATGATTTCTAGTAAGAAGGCCTGCATGGCAGAATCCAGCACTTCATCGGTGACACCAGCCTCATCCAAGCGTATTTTCTCTTTACTCGACCGTGACCATATCTGCTTCAGAGCCAGGATTCGAGGAATGACCCTGGTTTCCTCTCCACAGCGAATATCAGGGTGTGCATCTAGCATGGCCCTCATGAGTGTGGTTCCACTCCGAGGCACACCTCCAATAAATATTAAAGGCATATCTTTGTGATAGGCAAAGGTTTTATTGGCTTTGATGTCCAGGCCAGTTCGCACAGTGGTCTTTGTGTTCTCAAATTTGAGGGGTTGGCTACGTTCTTCTATTCGGTGATGGCATTCCATGGCGTGTTGGCCCAAGTAAAATACAGTCACAGAACTAATCACCAGACATGCCAATAGTAAGTTCTGCTTCAGTTTTCCAACCATCTTGATGTGGTTATCTTGCTATTAAACAGATATTTTGCTACAAATGTTTTTCAGAAAACATTCAGGCCATGGAGATTCTACTTCAGAAAGATGACCAATATCTAATAGGAAAAGGAAAAAGTTATTTTACCATTACATTAAGATTGTTTACAAAGTAATCATCAGTTATCACCATTGCATTTTAGCTAGAAAGAAGTTGAAGCAGTCTTAAATACACTGATACTCTTAGAATAAAAGTATATATAAATATAAGCAAAAATAAATCAATATTTCTAATCAGAAACAGCTTTTCTTAATGTAACAATTCTGAAGCTACAGACCTTGCACAGAATGGAAAAATAAATAAAATTATTTCTATAGTGAGTCAAGCAAATATTTAATATTCCCAAGTATGTTTGGAGTCTAACCCAAGGTTCATCTCTGATATTCAGAGTTGCTTCATCCCCAAGAAGCTTCATCCACATTCTACTATAAAGAGAAATTACAGAAGAAATATACAACTTCCAAATTTTTAACACAGATTCAGTTTATTCATATCTTACAAATTATTTATTTAGGTACTACAGTCCAGATACTTGGGCTTGGCTGAGGATAAACTTTGAAAAGGACAGCAGTGCAGTGACCCCTGCTCTCAGGAAACAAAGTCTCATGGGCAGACAAATATACAATGATAATAAAGTGTGATCAGTGTCTTAGTAGAAATAAGCAAAGGAGACAATGGTAGTATAATGAAAAGGCACACAGAAAGGAAGCTACCTCAGGAAGCTATAAAACCATATATAAAACAAGAGGAAGGGGTACGCTAAGCAATAGAAACTTGTGTGCAAAAGCACAATGGCATGACAGAACACAGCATAATTAGGTGACAAGAAGTAGTTCAGGAAAGCTGGTGTATAGGGTGCAAAGAAAACTGTGTGTGTCTGTGATCTAGCCTTATCTAGAATAGATAAGATTTGGGTACACAGAGCATTCTAAACTGAAGATACGCTATGACCAAAGACACAGACATGTAAAAGCAGGGGCATGTATGTAAAACATACGTACTATGTACATGTAAACTTACCCTGAATTTCAGAGGGCAAGTGTGATGTTTAGTTTTATCTGTCAACTTGGCTAGGCTATGGTGCCCAGTGTTTGGTCAAACACCAGTCAAAATGTTTCTGTGAAGGTATATTTTTTAGAAGTGATTAACAATTAAATCAACAGACTTTGAGTAGATTACCCTCCAAAATACAGGTGGACCTCATCCAACAACTGAAGTCCTTAAGAGAAAAGACAAGTTTCCTGAAGAAAAAGGGATTCTCCACAAGACTGCAACACAGAAACCCTGCCTGAGCTTCTAGCCTGCTGCCCTGAGGAATTCAGCCTCTAGGCTAACATCAACTCTTACCTGCCGGACTGCTGTATGGATTTTAGAAATACCAGTGCCATAATCACATGATCCAATTCCTTAAACTCTCAGTCACACACACACACACACACACACACACACACGAATATCCTGACTGGCAGTGAGTACACCTGGGGAAATGACTGACCACACCAGAAAAAGAACACGTTCTGAGGGGCTGGATGTCTAGCTATGAACTAACCAGAAGGTAGGCAATTCTTCTCCCCAAAAAAACAAGTCATAAAGAGGAATGAAACTGACAAAACCACCCTTTCAGTCCTCTGGAAATTGACCAAAGGAATACAGCAACCCAAGAAGCATTTATGTTTGAAAAACTGCTCAACGTTCAGTAAGAACAGTGAAAGCTGTGGTATTTGTGCCCAAGACTACTCCCACCCCCACCATCCACCCACTCAGCAGGTACAGAGGTTCTGCAGGGCAGGGCAAACTACAAGGCCTGGAGGCTTTGCTGCTGGAATCAATGGGAGATCACTCAATTTGAACTGGAGCGTAGCACACACGCCCAACTGTGCTGCCAGTGTAAGTGATGCTCCAGGCGGCAGGTGAGCAAGGACGGTGAAGAGCTCTAGTAGGCTGAGGCTGTAGTCGTGATCAGCAAGCTCGTGGCCAACGCTGAGCTATATACAGGCAAAGAGGAGGCATGAAAGGATCAAGCGGAAAGTAAACACCAGGGCAGATTTGAGAACAGCCTGAACTTTGAACATGTTCCTCTGCCCCACACGCAGATCCACTGGCAGAGGACAAGTCTTACTGCCTCAATATGTTTGAGCACAACCGCTGTCCACTAAGCTATGCAGACAGGAGGGCAAACCACAAGAAAGCCATGCTTAATAATGAAAACAATTGTGTGTGTGTGTGTATGTATCTGAGCAGCTACATCAGCATACATTTATATGAAATGTTCACATCTGGCAAATTTACAGAGACAGAAAGCATGGGGTGGAAGCAGGAACTTATGGCAAACAGGCATGAGGGGACTTTTTCCAGTGATGAAAATGTTCTAAAACTGGACTGTTGTGATAGTTGCACAACTCTATAAAATCTACTAAAAATCACTGAATTGTACCCTTAAAATGAGTAAGTTTTATGGTATATGCTACACCTCAGTACAGCTGGTTTTTCTTTTTTTGAAGAATACACTCAAAGAAATATTTTTTGAGAGTCTCAGTAGGATACAACAGTCAAGATCTGGTTTTTGTTTACTCATGTATTCATTCCTTTAGCCACATATTTGAAGACCTATTATTGTGCCAGGCACTGTACTTTATTATAAAGCTGCAACAAAGAACCACAAAGTGAGAAGAGGTTGAGATTAGAAGATCAGCTTGATAAGAAAAGACTGCAAAGAAAAAAACATTAATTAAGATAATTGGTAGCAATATAGCATTGAAATATCTATGCAGAAAACTGTATCCATGATGTAGAAGGCACACTTAAGATGTTACACCAGTATTTAATTTAAAGGGGAGAAAGTGGGAAGGAAAAAAAACAATGGAGAGAAAAGAGAGTAATAGAGAAAATGGAGAATTAAGATTCAACCCTAGAAAAATAACGTTTTGGTTAAAGAAACTAAAACTGTATCACAAGCACAAAGGGAAAAAATCCTTTTGGAAATAGAAAAAAAGACATTAGTCTATTCAAGTGAGGGCCTACCTTTCAAGCAAAACAATGACAATAAACCCAATCTGGAAACATCCTGGCAATTTCAAATATGGCAATTTCAAATTTCAAATATAGTTCAATTTCAAATGTGAAAGAAATAGTTCTTCAGGCTTCCAAACAGAAAAAGAAAATAAGGACCATAGGACCAAAAAACAAGCTGGCATTAGATGTCTCTGCAACATTAAATGCTTATCCTCTGGTTTCCTTGTAAGATACCTTTCCTTATTTTTCAAATTTGCTATGATGAACATGTGTTACCTTTCTAAGTGAGAAAAGAAAAAACAATATTAAAAAATAATAGGGGGCTTCCCTGGTGGCGCAGTGGTTAAGAATCTGCCTGCCAATGCAGGGGACACGGGTTCGAGCCCTGGTCCAGGAAGATCCCACATGCCATGGAGCAACTAAGCCCATGAGCCACAACTACTGAGCCTGTGCTCTAGAGCCCGCAAGCCATGAATACTGAGCCCACGTGCCACGACTACTGAGCCCAGGTGCCACAACTACTGAAGCCCGCGCGCCTAGAGCCTGTGCTCTGCAACAAGAGAAGCCACTGCAATGAGAAGCCCATGCACTGCAACGAAGAGTAGCCCCCACTCACAGCAACTAGAGAAAGCCCGCGCAGCAACGAAGACCCAAGGCAGCCAAAACTAAATAAATTTATTAAAAAATAATAATAATAGGAATAGCCTTTCTTAAAAATTGACAGGTAAAGATCTGAAGAATGAGCAGGAACTAGGTAAAGAGTGAAGAGAAGAGCATTCTAAGCAAAAGTAAATGGATACGCAAAAGCCCTGCAATAGAAAAGCATTTTAAAGCTTTCAGGGACTTCCCTGGCAGTACAGTGGTTAAGACTCTGTGCTTCCAATTCAGGGGGCACGGGTTCAATCCCTAGTTGGGGACTAAGATCCCACATGCCACATGGTGCGGGCAAAAAAAAAAAAAAAAAAATAGTTTTCAAAGAGCAGGCTAAGGCAGTAAGCAAGAGAGAAAGTGAGTGAGAGATGAAACTGGAAAAATGGGCAGGGGTCAGTTCATAAATCTTGTGGGTCAGGTTAGGGATATAAAATTTTATCACAGATGCAATCAGATGTGACTGATTTAAAGATCCTAAGCAGTGAGTTACTTAATCCTATTTAGGTTTATACAATCTCACTCTGGCCAAAACTATCTTGAAAAACAAAAATGTTGGAAGATTCACAATTTCAAAACTTAATACAAAGTGATAGTAATGAAGACAATGCAATACTGGCAGAAAAACAGGCATACAGATGAATGGAAGTCCAGAAATAAACTGTTACATTTATGGTCAACTGACTTTTGACAAGGGTGCCAAGATAACTGAGAGAGGAAAGAGCACTCTTTTCAACAAATGATGCTGGGACAACTGGACATCCACATGCAAAAGAATGAAGCTGAATACCTATTCACAAAAATTTACTCAAAATGAGCTAGAGACCTAAATGTAAGAGCTAAAACTATAAAATTCTTAGAAGAAAACAGAAGTGTAAATCTTTGTGGCTGTGCGTTAGGCCACAGTTTCATAGATACAACACCAAAAGTACAAGAGACAAAGAAAAAACAGATAAATTGGACTTCATCAAAATTTAAAATATTTGTGCTTCAAAGGACAATATCCTAAAAGTGAAAGACAAACCAAAAAATGGGAGAACATATATGTAAATCATATGTCCAATAAGGGACTTGTAACCAGAATATATAAAGAACTTACAATTCAACAAGACAGACAAATAACCCAATAAAATACAGACAAAAACTCTAACTAGACACTTCCCCAAAGAAGATATACAATAGTTAACTAGCACATGAAAAGATGCTCAACAATGTTAATCTTCAGGAAAATGCAAATCAAAACCAAAATGAGATACCACTTCAAACCCACTAGATGGCAACAAAAAAAACACAGACAATAAAAAGTGTCCGTGAAGATGTGGAGAAACTGAAACCCTCATATACTGCCAGTGGGTGGAACTGTAAACTGGCGGGGGCACAGTCACTTTAGAAAACAGT